AGGAAAACAAAAACTGTGACAGGTGCCGTTTCCCAGGGGCACTCGCTCACGGAGAGGGGGTGCAGGTGTCCAGAGGACAGAGAACAGCCCGAGTCAGGGAGGCAGCAGCATCAGGTCCCTCCTGGAACTTTCCTGACTGTTAAGTGCGGTGCTCACCATCCAAATGTGATTTTCCTCAAAAATTTGGGGCACTTCCTAAATGATTGTATTTTTTTTCCCTTTTAACACATGGAACAAATGTTTCCTCCCTCTGTCTTTTAATGCATCCCTGTTTCCTCAGGGAGGTGGCCAGACCTCACAGGACTGAGTCAGTTTCTTCCAAATGCCGTGTCTGTAGAACATCAACACTGGATGCACAGCCCTTCTTCTCTCACTGTCCAGCTTCCAGAGACTGAGATCCAGGAAATTCCCAGAAAAGCCCCTTTTCCCCTGCATGACCATCTTCACACAAGGTCTCTTAGGCTCCAGGAAACACACTCCCTTCATTCTCAGCTTTGCTGGCCCATAGGCCTGGCAGGGGGTAGAACATTTGAACAAATGAGACCCCCTATTTTCTTGTGGCAGGCACAGCCCCTCAGTCTCACACAGAGTAGTGAGCACAGTAGGGTCTCTGCCCCCTAACACCTTTTCCTGCCCAGGGTCATGAGCATCCTGCCCCCTCAGGCAGCCCCCACTGAGCTCAGAGTCAGTACCAGGCTGGTCCCAGAGCCCTGGGGCTGGCATGCAGTCACCTTTGGTAAGATGCCTGTGCAGTGAGCCAGGAGGCCCAGGAGGAGAGGAGTCCAGGCCATGGTGGGGTCCCTGATGCTGCTCCCAGAGGCTGAGGCTGGGCAGGCTCCCCCAGGCCTGTCTATCCCCTTGCTGGAGAGAGCTGCTGGCTATGTGAGTCAGCCAGGCCCAGGCTGCTGCTTGGGGAGCTTTGTGGTTTCACAGACTGTTCAGCCCCCAGAGACCAGGGAGGGTGTTTTCCTTGTAGACTCCACCCAAAACTGAGGGATCCTCCTTCTCCTTCTGCTCCCACAGGAGTCTGGGCTCCAGTGTGGGGCTCTGTTCAGGGAAGTGTCTAGGATCTCAGCTTTCTGGTGATGACTCTAGAATTGGTCTAATGTCTTTTCTCCAGGTCCCTGTGGGGTGAATGGACTCCCAGCAGGATTGAGGTTTAGAAGGAAGCATTTGGGGACACAGGAGACACAGGACCTAGATCACTGAGCACCCTGCTCTTGCAGGATTGGGCCTGGTAGGGAATCGGGTCCATGTGCGGAGGTCTGTGTCAGGACAGATACGGCCATGGCGGGGCTTCTCCAGCTGTGGATGATACTCAGCAGGTGTCCCAGGTGGCTCGGCAGCTGCCCGCAGGGCTTTTCTAGGGACTGACCAGGCCCACTTCCATGGACGTGGGGAAGGGACACCGAGGTGAGAGATGTGTTGACTGGGTGCAGGATCAGCAGAAGGAGAAGTGAACATTCGCTCAGTCCTGCAGGGGCCTCTGTCAGCACCAGCTCGCTTTGTCACCACAGTGACAGGCACTGTCCCCTCCCCACTCAGGAAAGGGGTGTTCTGACCAAGGGCTTCGGTGACTGTCCCAGATGACATCTCCTGTGGGTCCCTTGAGGGGGAGTTTTCCTTTATTGTCAGGTTTGACAAGGAAGTGGGGGAGCCCCTGGTCCAAAACACCTTTCCCCAGTCATGCCGAGAGGTGAGGAAACAAGGCTTTGGGGTAAGGGCTCTTTCCATGGTCCTCATGTTGGGGTGGGGTCTCAGCCTTGCCCTTTGCCATCCATGCAGGTGTCCAGGACACATGTCTCAGCATGAGGCTCTGTCTCAGCCCTGGGCTGAGCGTTGAGCTTTATAGTGACCCCAGCTGGCCTTTAATCACTGCAGTCACTGTCTCCAGGGGAACCCTCTGGAGTCAGATATCTTGGGTTTCACCTGTTGCAGGTGACTGCATACCCCTTCCTGCAAGAGATCATAGGTGGGCACAGACGAAACATTTTTTTTTCTGTGGGGGCTACACTATTATTTTCAACCTAGAGAAGGAGTTGCCACTTAATGAATGAACAAGTGTATTTGTTTGCACACACAGTTCTGCTGAGGATGGGGTGAAGCTCAGTCATTTACACAGTGTTGAGATGCTGTCCGTGGAAAACCAGGGTGAAGCTTGGGGTGTTGCCCCTGCACAGCAGACAGACATCCTGTCTGGCTCCTCATATGGGACTAGAGGGATCATAATGCTAAGACAGGGCCTGGTGCCTCAGACAGACCACTTCTGTTCCCACACGGATGTGTCATCCAGGCCCCTGCACCTTCCCATCCTATGGCCCTCGTCCTCCCACATCACATCCTCCTCCTCCTCCTTCTGGTCCCCATGGAGGTCTGTGGACCCACCTGCAGCCAGTTCTCACACCTTTGATTCTGGTCTCTTTGCAACATGAGGTGACTTAGAACCAATGTGGGAGAAATGACTTTTAAGAAAAGATCCCTGTTTTGTGAATTAGGCAAATATATCCTTTGTGGAGAATATCAGTTGTCTAAGCTCAGTAGAATATGCCTTATGATCAGCCTCTTCTTGTAGATCTACATGAGGTTTATGGAATGATCTTCCTGCTGGAAGGGATATTTATTCCAATACTGATTAAACAATTCACAGGGTCATTATCATATTTTGCAATGACTAACGGTAAAAAGATGTGGGATGGCTCAGATGGCTCATCGGAGATTGGAGTTGTGTTGAATACTTGCCTGTGAGAACAGAAGTAGTGTGGACACATGTCAGTAAAATTCCCTCGTTCCCTCATTCCTCAGGGATTTCAATAACCTGGTTCAGGTAGAAAGTGGAGCTGTTATTCCTCCCTAGCGAGGCCTCTGTGTCAGGGCACCTCCATTGCCCCTGGTTATAAGTAAAACTTCAGGGACAGTCACTTCCAGAACCTCAGGCATCCACCTGCTGTGTGCTGGGCACCGGCCAACTGGAGCATGAGGTGTGCTGGTAAAACAGAGATACTCTGAGGTTCTAAAAATCACCAGATTTGAGAGATTGCGTAAAATTCTGAAAATCATGTCAATAGAGCATATTGAATATATCGTGAAATAGAAATATTTTTCGATAACTGAGGTAAACAACAGTATGTTATGGACACCAATTCCACCTGTTTCTTCTGATCTTTAAAACGAAGCTGCTGGGATAATTTAAATACTTGGGTAGTTCTAACTCTATTTTGATTGGACAGTGCTGACTGCAAGTCGGAGATCAGTCGTAGCTTTTAGAACAGGAGGAGAGCTGTCACCTCAGGAGCAGGGCCGTCTTAGCATTGAGGGCAAATAGGAGGCCCCAGGTTGGATGACGACCAGGACTCTGGGGTCAGAAGAATCTGTTGCTGGGTGGGTCCCCTCAGCAGACACTTGGAATAACCAGCTGCAGCCTCTGCTCCTGTCTACTTAATGGGGAAACAGGGAGAGGGTAAGTGATTTTCTCAAAATAACCAAGAAATAACAGGTAGTTTAGAATTCCCACCTCAGAGCCCATTGTTCACCCTCCTGTCCTCCCCTCATTGGGCATCATGTTTTCCTCCTTCCCTCATCCCAGGCCTCCTGGCCCCTCTTGTCAGGACCCAGCTTCTGTATTCAGGAGTCTGTCCTCCCCGCGTCTATACAATGAACACTCAGATGTTCATGGTGTTGGAATCTGATTCCCTGTCAAATGTGAGTCTGTCTGTGCACAAAGGTGGAGACCTTCGTTTGCTCCCTCTGTGGCAGAAAAAACAGATGCTGTGTTGTGGGATGCGCAGGGACCAGGGATGCTTGGTCAGGCTCTGCGTGTCAGGCTCCTTTCTTGACATTTTAGGATGAAGATTCATTCTCCAACAAAGTCTTGGCTTTTGTAGAACTGTCATGTAGGCACAGGAGCATTTCTTTCTAAGGTATAGCCTGTGAGGTGTGCACTTTCCTGTAATGTCCTGAACAGCCCCTGGGCATAGACACTCTTGACACGCTGCCCCTCTCAGTTGTGTGTGAAGAGGAGACTGAGACTGGACAGTGCCATAGCCTCAGGCCTGTCCATCCTGCTCCCAGCCGAGAGCACCCCACACAGCCCCTACCCTGACACCACCTCCCTTCCACGTGCCCCTCAGAGTCTCCAGGAGCTGCTTGCTCCTCAGGGCCAGTCCTAAACCATTGCTTCTGGGTCTCCATGCAGCGTGTAGCAGGTTGTTAGCACCATCCTGGAAGAATGGACTTTCATAAAGTGACCTGAGCTTGGGAATTCAGGAAGATCTCTCTGTGGAGAAGGACAAGTCGTCCGACTTCAGTAACATTTCCTGATGATCAGCCAAATCCAGATCAATTCCTAAATAATTTTCCAAGAGATTTACAGGATTGACTTTCTCTCTGAAAGGGATTCTGCACCACAATAGAAGTAATTCTCAAGAACACTTGTCATTCCTTTCACTGATGCAGAATACATGTGTTGGGTGCTGACACCCCTGTTGAAATTTGTCGTACTGAATGTCTTGTCTTTAAGAACGGTATTAGTATGGTCACATGTTACAATAATTCCCTCACTGCTGGGAGACCGTTTTGGGGGCCTGCTGCCCTTAGGGAGCTGGAGATTTCTGAGAGTACCTGTTTACTCTGCAGACTGAGATCCAGGAGGCTAGAAGTTCTGCAAACAGAATTGTCTCCTATTCTCTAGGACCAACTGGCTTATGTGCATGATCCCTACTAACTACAAAAACAGAAGTAACTTACTGATTTGTATAAGCATAAACAGAATTGCATGCTGTTTTCTTGTTCCCATGTTCATATCTTTAAGAAATGCTTGGGCTGGGAGAGTGAAAGGCAGAGTTGCTCTGGGATGGCTCTCTCCCCAGCCTCCCCTGCTGCAAATTCATTTACACCTGGAATCTTCATTCACAGCTGAGAACTTCTCATTGGCTCTCTGGGGCCTGGCCAAACTATCCTGATTTGCCTGGGGAGTGGAGCTGTCCTTCCCCATATGAGCCTTGCTTCATGGGACTCACCACTCCCCTGGCTCCTGTGAGAGCAGCTGCAGGGACAGGTGATCAGGGTTTGTCTCATTTAGAAGCTTCGCTATTTTCTGCTCTGTCTCGTGCTGCATCGCTGTCATGATGATTCTGTTCCTCGTGTTTGTCCCCGTGCAGGTGAGTCTTTCTTGGTCTCCACTGGGGAGTCTCTCCCTAAACTGTTCCTTCTGGCGTGGGTAGAGCTGTGTTCCTCTTTTCCCTTTTAGCTCTTGGATTGATAAACACCAAAATCTGTATATTAATAGTGTTTTAACAAATTTGGAATATCTTTGGTAGTTTCTCTTTTCCAAATACTTGTTTTAACCTCCATTCCCTCCCAGCTTTCTCCCGAGTGTCATCAGTTACACATTTGGACCCTTGATACTGTCCTGCAGCTCAAATACCTGTCATTTCTCACTCTTTCTCTCTCAGTATCAAAGAATGTTTCTGATTATTCCATCATAAAGGTCAGTCATCTTTACATTTTTATCAAGTAATATTCTGACAATGTCCTCAGTCGTATATTGAAATCTCACAGAGTATCACATATTTCTAGAATGTCAATTGTGCTCATATTTTAATGTGCCCGTGTCTTATTTGCATGTTCACTCATCTGCTACTCTCAGAACAGTGAAACATTTTCATGATAATAGTCTCCATGTCTAGATACATGACCTCCAGAAAATTTCACCTTCAGGATGGGCTCCTTGAGTTTTGTATTATTAGGGCAAATATATTCCTAATTCTTCATGGGCAATTTTGTGTAATGTCCCTTGTTATATACCCTGAACCTGTATTTATATCTATGGTATAATTTTTTTTTATATTTTATTTCTGTAAATTTATTGAACACATTCAATCCTCACTCTCAGCTAGCTTTTTTATTCTTTTTAAGAGTCACCGGATCAGTCTAAAGTTTGGGCAAATTTTCCAATACTGAGCAAAGTGCTCCTGCCAGGCAACCAATGCCTTAATAGGATGTCTCTTCTGACCAGGGAAAAAGCATATATGACTGTGTGTGCCTGTGGCTGTGTGTGTGTGTGTGTGTGTGTGTGTGTGTGTGTGTAATTCATGCAAGAAGCTCCCTGTGAAGAATCAGGGTGGTTAATCCTCCTTACCATCCATTTTCTCCCTCTCACCTGTGCTTGTCACTGCGCTTAGAATCTTTGCTCAACTCCAGAGCTGTCTCTGCAGTTTCTCGAGCTCTGCCCTCTCAGTCTTTCCACCTTGGTCCTCAATCTCCTCAACTACTGTGGTCAAGGGCACACAACAGAGCCCATTCCTGCAGTCCTAAATCCATTCAGGACTCACATCTGCGAAGAATGTCCGAGAAGTGGTGGAGGGGAAAAAGAGCTGGGACTTGGGTCAGGACTCTCTTGCCTGTGTCTCCATCCTCCTGGGCTGGAGGAGAGTGTGACCCAGATGGGGACGGGGTTTATGCCTCACTTCCCCATGGCCCCGTGTCACTGTGGATGATTATTACTGCTGCCTGGTGAGAGGCAGTAATAGTCAGCCTCATCCTCAGCCTGGGCCCCGCTGATGGTCAGGGTGGCTGTGCTTCCCGAGGTGGAGCCTGAGAATCGGGCAGGGATCCCTGAAGGCCTGTCACCAAAAATATCAACGAGCATCACAGGGGCCTGGCCCGGCTTCTGCTGGTGCCAGCTAGCAAAATGGTTTATTCCTTGGCAGGTGATCGTGACCGTCTGTCCCAAGGCCACAGAGACTGCCTGTGGTTGACTCAGCTCAGCAGTGACCACTGAACCTGCAAGAGGAGAGGAGAAGAGAGGTGAGTGTGAGGATGAGGGTCATTCCCAGAGGGCACAGTCCCTGCTGCATCCCCTGTGCTGAGCTGAAGGTCAGGCCAGGCTGCTCCCTGGTGTCTGTGTGGGCTGATCCCTAGGGCCAGCACCTGTGCAGATAACGAGGAGGGGGAGCAGGAGAGGGCTCCAGGCCATGGTGCAGATGTCTGAAGTTCAGCTTCTAAGCCTGCAGCTGGGATGGGTGCTCAGGGCCTCTCTTATCCTCGGGTGGCATGCAAATCTACTTCCTACCTCCCTGTGGCCTGGCCTGGGGCTCTGAAGAACAGACAGAGCTTAGCTCATAGAAGACTGTGAAGTGCAACCTAGTGCCTGGTGTGTACTAGAGATTCTAAGACCTGGACACAGCACGCTCTCTCTCTCTTTCTCACTCTCTCTCTCTCTTTCACACACACACACATACACACATCCATCTGTACCCTGTACCACCCTCTGCTTTGGGACAACCCACATCACTCTCTCTAGTAAGGAGAACACACGTGGGGTGGACTTCACCGACTTGAGGAGGGAGCTGTGGGGACAGGAGTCACACTATGTGAGAAGCCCAATTCCATCAGCACACAGGGAACTGGGTCATGTAACCTCAGGCAATAGCTCTTGTTTATGTTTAAGAACATACAGGAAGCATCACTGGAATGAAAGAGTAAGTTGCAGTCCTTTGATGACACCAGACACGTGATGTATGAAAGGAAGATGAATACACTGACCTCATCAAAACCCCTATCTTTTGATTTATAAAACCTCCTCCACAGGATAAAAGAAACAAGTAACAGGCAACAGAACAGACTAGCAAAGACATATCTGATGAACAGCTAGTGCAGAGAGGACACTAAGAAATGTGATCACTGAACAGTGAAGACACAACCACTGAGGAAAGGAGACTGAGTGGAACCAACACTTGTGTGCGGAGGATGCAGGATGGCGGGAGCGGGAGCAAGAGCTTGTCATCCGTCATCTGGAAAACACCATTGTAACCTGAGGAGAAGGTGTCCCCATGTGCCCTCAGATTGGCTGATGTAGAAAAGAGGACCCCAAATACTGGCAGGGTGAGGAGAACTGGGCCCTTACACCTGACTGATGGGGTGAAATTAACCACAAAACTGGAGACACCTGCATTTCCCACACAGGAGCTTGGTGGTTCTCTCAGGTATTTAGTTCAGATCCTGAGAAGTCACATTTGCAGAAGGTCTAATCACTGATAATCATGACACCTTTGCGCACAAGAGCTTCTCCAGATGCTGTCCCGAGAGAAAGCAGATGCCAGGCCTGGTGTCGATTACCAGATTCTGTTTCATGAACCATGGAATCCTACTCAGCAAAGAAAAGGAAGATCTCTTCTTTTCTTCAATTTTTAATCTAAACTTTTTTAACATCATTGTTCATTCTCCCCTCAGGTGTAATCCCCAGAACATTCCCACCAGCAAGTCACCCATGAAGGTCACCATCGTCTCCTGTGCTCTTCCCACCCCTGTTTTGATCCCTCTCCCGCACCCTCCCCAGCCGAATGTCTGTCATTTGTATTTTGCTGCTAGTTTTGTCTTTTTCCCCCCTGATCCCTGGTTTGGTTTTCCTATGCCCTCCTGTAAGAGAAACCATCCGACATCTTTCTCCTCTTTCTGACTTATCGCACTGAGCATGATCAAAAAGGAATGACCTCTTAAGGCAACAATAACTAAGAGGCCCCAGGGAGCTAGTGCTGAGTGACAATGCCAGTGCCAAGGCTGCACTCAATAGTCACACGGGTGGTCTGACTTCCCCAGTTCCAGAAGGAACAGGGAGCTGGTGGTCGCTTTGAACGGACAAAAGGCCGGGGAGTGTGCACAAAGTTCATTAGGAGCAAAGCAGGACAACTTTGAAGCAGAAGCAGCAAAGCAAAGCTCCTGTTCCTGGGAGGGGACTCGAATATGAGTTGTCATTGGCAGGATCCCCAAGGCTGCCTTACTGCTGGGATGGTAGTTGCTGGATTTGTTCTTCCTTTGATGGGGCTTTGTTTTGAATTTTTTGTGTTTCTCAGCTGCTGTTCCCTGGCCTGGATCTGTCCTGCTCTCTAGAGGTGGGTGCTGCACCCCCTTCCCTGGACTCTGTCTCCCCATGTCCCTGAGCTGTGTCCTGACCTTCATTTCCTAACTCAGAGGGACTCTTTTTTCCTAACCTATCCCCTCTGAAAAGACACTGTGAGATGAAAGAACCAGTCAGAAAGTAATGCCTGGGTTAGGACTGGAGGGTGCTGGCGGGAGGGGGAGGCATATTCTTAAAGGTCAGCACGCGGCCCCTTGGGCTAAGGGAACTGTTGGTATCCAGGCCCTAAGGGTGGATCTAGGAACCCACTCTTATTCCCTTCTGGGACCCTGGAGGGTGGGAGGGTGTGGTTGTTGTAGAAATTTACCCCTCCCCTGGGGCTCCTCACTAAGATGGGGAACAGCTGTGGGGTAGATCAGGTGACTGAGGCTCCTGGGTTGAGCATCAGAATCTACCACATGCTGGTCATGTCAGAAAGGCAGCCTGGCCTCCAAGGTCTGTAATCACAGTCACCTCCTGGGGTGGGACCCCACATAGCCTTCAGGCCCCACCTGGGGTCTGTCCTGGCTGGCTGAGACTGCAGGGTCTTCCAGGAGACTGGGCTGGGGCCGAGCTGGACCATGACAGAAATCAGAATCCAGCGTTCCTGGGGTTGGGGTCCCCAGCACCCTCATTCTTTCTCTTCCTGTCATCCTCCTGTGTACCCCAGGCGCACATGCTCCCATCGGGGACTGTGGTTAAGAATATGTGTGTGTGGCTTCTGTCGTTGGCTGTTTGTCCATTACTGAGTGCATGGAAGTTTCCTTGTTAAACAACCGTCCCCTTTGGAAGAGTGATCACAGCTTGGTCTCATTTTCCAAGTGGTGTTGGGTCCTTGTTGTGACAGCCCCGACACCATTGACCTTGACACTCTAGGATTTCACTACTCTTTTGTATAAGATGTGAGGCTTTAGAAATCCAGACCTGGCTAAGAAACCCTGTTTTGGCTCCACGTGATCTGAAGATTCCCAGGGTCATGGTCTTTGCACAGAGGGAGAGCTCTGGGAACTGAATGGACAGGGGTTCCCCAGGGCATGTGGATTCTTAATTCAATGACCAGGGACAGCCCGTGACCAGACTGTGACCAGAGAAGGGAGAATTACTTCACGCTGCAGAAGGTCTCTTATGTGGGCACCGATCGCCTTCCAGGGCCCTGGGTGTCCCGAGAAGTGTGCCTGCCCCTCCTGAGCAAAGTAGGTGCAGCCTGAGCTCACAGTCAGCCTGGAGGACGGAGAGGCAGGAACAGTGGTGAGGGTGTCCCTGATGTGCCAGCAGAGAGGGTCAGCTCCCTGGGCACAGGCTCTATGGCTCATTTCCCAGGTGATGCCCCCTGGATCCTGGTCCCATCAGTGTCCTGGCAGCACACTATGATTCTGACCCTCAAAATATGGTCACTGCAGCCTGGGGGAAGATCTGGCTGTGCTGAGTTCCTCTGAAGCTGTTCTGGTTCCCAGACCCCAGGGCAGGTTTGTCCCACTGAGGCTCCTGGGCAGCCCAGCTTTGTTCTGGGGCTCCTGCCTGAAGCTCTGCTGCCCCCTGCTGGTGGAGGACAGCTCATGCCAGGAAGCTCCTTGCCAGCCCCAGAGTCCCTGTCCAAGGAGAGAGTGTTGAACAGAGTTCAGCCCTCCCCTGTGCCAGCTGTGATCCCCTGGCCTCCTGGCAGAGCGCAGCAAGATAGAATACGGGGCACGGGGGGGCAGGCCATGTCAGTTTTTTGAAGCACATCCCACTTGTCAAGTGCCCTAGCTGGGGTGATTTGTTCATTTGCAAATTTGCTGTCTGGAACCTGAGTGATGCTGTAGGCACCCCTGCCTTCATGTCAGCTCAGATTCAGGAAGAAGCCTCCCCCCTCGGCATGGAGAGGCTGATCATTACCAGGGCCACTGGTGCTTCCTGACCCGAAACTCAGTTGCACTCACCCCTCGTGATTATTTACCAGGGTTTTTATCACCATAAATTTCCCAGAGTTCATGTTGAAGCGTTTCTCCCTCAGCCTCGCCTGAACTGCCGCTTATTTTTGTCTTTGTATTTACTGTTGATATATTCTCGCAGCCCATACTTCGGTATAGCTTTTCAATTCAATTGATAGCCTCTGCTCTTAATTGTGATATTTGATTATTTACAATGAAAGTGGTGTTAACAGATTTTCAATACACCGTGTTTTTTTTAAACATGTCATATTATTTCAAAAATTTTCTCATCTTTTTTTGCTTTTTCCTTTATATGCTTCCATGTAATTGAATTGTATTATGATTCCAATTTATCTGTGTCCTGTTTTGCTTGTTACTGTAATCATCTTATAATTGTAATTTACTTTTTGATTTATATGATATTACATCATGTTACATATTGCGTACGGTCCATGTAACCATCATTTACTTTCACTCATTTTGCTACAATTATCCAGCAATTTACTGTTATGTGCATTACAAATTCTAACATACATGGTCAGTGCCTATTGCTTTAGACAGTAACATGCCTTTTTTTTTATAGAGGTATGTTTTATTTATTTGTTTGTTGTTTTTTGTTTTTATACAAGCACTGGGTACAGCAGAAGCGCGGGAGGGTGAGAGAATTCACCAGAGCCAGAGCGGGGAGCAGAGCAGGCAGAAGGACCGAAGTACACTGCTGAGGGGAGCAGCGGGCGGCAGGAGAGGTCTGCACACCATGCGGGACCCTGCTCCGGTGGCCGGGGAGCAGCCGGGGATCGAACCGGCGCCGCAGAGGCCGCGGGCAGCTTTGCAACCCAGCGCTCAACCGCTGCGCCACCGGGGAGGCCCAGTAACATGCCTTTTTAATAGATTTCAACAATAGCATCTTATCTATGTAGTTGAAGTCCAGATTCTTTTCATTCTTTTTTGAAGATTCCTCCTACCCTTTGCAAACCCTTGCCCATATCTCACTCTTTTTCCCTTCGTATGAATATCCCTGTTGCCAAAGAGCAGCACGGTTGTCTCTCAGACATGAGTCTGCTGCCTTCTCATTTGGTGATCAATTAAACCACTTTCCCTTTCCTCAAATTCTGTTTCCATTTATTGGCTGAGGGACTGTAGGCGGCGTTTAGTATCAATCACCCCACAGGCCGGAGGGAGGACACAGATGCTCTGTTGTCAAAGTGACCTCAAAGATGACCCGTGTCCTCTCTGTCCTGCTGTCTGGGGAGAAGGGTTGAAGAGAAACACAGGGTTGAAGGAGAAGAGTAAAATTCTTAGGGTTTCGCATTGAAATGGGGAGTAGCTCACCCTGTCCATGTGGGGTAGAGCCCTGGTGGAGGGAGGTTTTGACCTCACTTTCCTTTTGTGTCACTGTGGCTTCACCATATTGCCCTGTATTAAAGTCAGCACTACAGTGATATTCAGCTTCATCCTCAGACTGGACATTGGAGACGGTCAAGTAGTGGTCAGCCCCTGAGCAGGAGACTGAGAAGCGATCAGGAATCCCCTCTCCTTGGCTGTGGCCTCCATCATTCCTAAGATACATCACATTCCCTGGGACCCTCCCGGGCAGCTGTTGATACCACGCAATGGAGGAGGTACTGAACTCTCTGTCCAGGGTTTAGATGCGCTTGGCTGATGTTCCCAGGGAGGCAGATACACAGGGGGCTGGGGCAGCACAGGCACAGCACAGAGACCTGCTACAGAAAATGCAATGAAGGGTGAATGACAATGGGGAGACAGCCCTAAGGACTGTGCAGGGTAGGACATACTGTGAAGGGGAAACCCTGAGTGTCTGGGCTGCTCTGACCTGTGGAGACCTTGAGAGGCAGGAGGTAGAAGGACACCCAGGCCTTGGTGGAGGCTTCCAGGAGCTCTGCCCTGAGGCTGCCTAGCTGCACTGGCCTCCCCAGGCTCCTGTCTTATTCTTTCTGCCTGCAGCTCCAGGAGGTGGGGCAGCCAATGCAAATCTCTCTCCATCCCCAGGGTGTGTGTCTTAGTCTTATGTGAGCCCTGAGCCTAAGGGCTTCATGCTGGTGATTTCCTGAAGGAAGAAGGAACAGGTGTGGGTTTCGTTGGGCAGTTGGTTTTACAGCAGAAGTGTCTTCAAAGGGAACATCCGTCATGTCCAGTGCAGTTGAGCACAGCCCAGTGTCTGGACTAATTAGGTCTCCAAACCAGGACCACAGCGCCCCCTGGTGCCCAGGATGAATGTCATCCTGCATGTGCTGACAGTCACCAGCATGACTGCTTCTGACCCTGGTGGAGACCAGGCCCTGGGTGAGTGTGACATGGGCCCTCACCAGACACTCACAAGAACACACTGCAGCCTCTGCTCCTGTCGACTAAATGAGGAAACAGGGAGAGGGTAAGTAATTTTCTCTAAATAAACAAGAAGTAATGGGTAGGCTAGAATTCCCACCTCAGAGCCCATAATTCACCTTCCTGCCCTCCCCTCACTGGGCATTATGTTTTCCTCCTTCCCTCATCCCAGACCTCCTGGACCCTCCTGTCAGGACCCAGCTTCTGTATTCAGGCGTCTGTCCTCCCTGCATCTATGCAGTGAACACTCAGATGCTCACGGTGCTGGAATCTGATTCCATGTCAAATGTGAGTCTGTCTGTGCACACAGGTTGGGACCCTCATCTGCTCCTCTGTGGCAGAAAACACCGATTCTGTGGGACAGGACAAGGGACCTGAGACCTGGCTGGGCTCCATGTGTCAGGCTCCTTTCCTGATATTTTAGCATGAGGATCCTTCCAAGGAGGTCAATGCCTTGGCTTTTGGAGAACTGTCAGGTAGGCACAGGAGCATTTGTTCTAAGGTATAGTCTGTGATGTGAGCACTTTCCCCTAATGTCCTGAAGAAATGTATTTGTCCTCAGGCTCCTGCTGATGAAAATGTACAATGTGACTCACTAGCACATGCTGAGACATTGTGCCTGGACCCCCTGAGAGGCTCCTGTGCCCTGGGCATAGACTACCCTGATGAGCTGCCCCTCCCAGTTGTGTGTAAAGAGGTGACTGAGACTGGACAGGGCCACAGCCTCAGGCCCATCCATCCTGCTCCCAGCCGTGCACCCCACTCAGCCTCTCCCCTGATGCCTCCTCCCCTCCCGAGCCCCTGAGTCTCCCAGGTGCTGCTCGCTCTCCAGGGCCAGGCATCATCTGTCCCTTCTGGGTCTCAGTGCAGCGTGACACCAGATGTTAGCATCATCCTGGGACATCGGACTTTCCTGAAGTGACGTGAGCTTGAGAATTCAACTAAGATATTTCCATGGAGAAGGGCAAGTCATCAGACTTTAGAAACATTTCCTGATGATCATCCACCATCTAGATCAATTCCAAAATCAGGCCTCCCTGGTGGCACATATTTAAGCACTGCATATGAAGAGATTCACAAGCTCTGCAGCACGAATTTGCTCCCCAGCCGGCCCGGGAGCAATACACATGGCATGGCAGACCTCTTCGATCTTGCCCGCTGCTCCCCTCAGCATGTATTTCAGTCAGTCCGCATGTTTCTGTTCCCTATTCTGTCTCTAGTGAATCCTCTCACCCTCCACCTCTCTGGCCTGTACCCCAATTCTTGTATGCATAAATAAATAAACTTTAAAAATTACAAAATAATTTTTCATGAGATTTACAGATTGACCTTCTCTCTGAAAGGGATTCTGCACCACAATAGAAGTAATTCACAAGAACACTGGTCATTCCTTTTGCTGATGCAGAATACAAGGGCTGGGTGCTGACACCCATGTTGAGGGCACAACCCCTGCTGCATCCCCTGTGCTGAGCTGAAAGCCAAGCCAGGGTGCTTCCTGGTGTCTGTGTGGGCTGATCCCTAAGGCAGCACCTGTGCAGATAATGAGGAGGGGGAGCAGAAGAGGGCTCCATGCCATGGTGCAGATGTCACAGGATCAGCCTCTAAGCCTGAAGCTGGGATGGGTGCTCAGGGCCTCTTTTATCCTCGGGTGGCATGCAAATCTACTCCAACCTCCTTGTGCCCTGCTAGGGCCTCTGGAGAACAGAGAGAGCTCAGCAAAGAGAAGACTATGAAGTGGACCCTAGTGCCTGGTCTGTACTAGAGATTCTAAGGCCTATCTGTGGCTTTTGAGACAGTGTTTCCTGTGCACACAGCACATGCTCACACACACACACACACACATGCACACATACACACACTTCCATCTGTACCCTGGACTGCGCCTCTGGTTTGGGACAACCTTCATCACTCTCTCTAGTGCAGAGAAACACACACGATGGAGTTTGCAGACTACAAGAGGGAGCTGTGGGGACAGAGGGTGAGAGGTCCAATTTCATCCCCCACACAGGGAACTGGGTCATGTAACTTTAGGCAATAGCTCTTGCTTATGTTTAAAGAATGTACAGGAGACTTGGCTGGAATAAGTGTGTAAGTAACGGTCTTGATGACACCAGTAGCATGATGCATGAAAGGAAGATGAATACACTGACCTCATCAAAACTCCCATCTTTT